TCCGTGATATTTACGAGCAATCGCTCGATAAAACGTCATTGGATTGAATCAGAAGCTGAGCGCATCGACGGATTCCGTATGTCGGGTTGCCACACTGGGGAATCAAGAACGCCAACCATCATGGAGGCTGAATTTCCTTCCCACCGAAAGAGGCGGCCGCGAAACTTTCGCAGCGCCGGGAGGTGGCGGTGAAGGTCCCGGTGCGTGCGGGGGTCGAGAAGCTGAGCCTCGTCGGCTTCAAGCGGCAGGCGGAGAAACGCCTTCGGTGCTTTGCGGGAGGCGTTGGGCCCCCTGAGCTTCACGCATCTTCTGGCTTTGTTCTTCGTTTTACTTGGCTTCGCTGCAAAAATACCCCAAGACCTGCGTCCTTTTATGCGGATTTCCCAGCAACAGGGTCCGGGAACCACCTAATTACAAATCCGGACCAGTTGTTTTTTAGGGTGTTGAATCACCGACTCATGATACAGCCTACTTCACGCTGTGCTTTGTGTGCACGTTCTGGGGGTGAATGAAGATGGTCATCATTTCTGTGTTTGTTGGCTCTCAAAATTTGTCATTGTGAGAAGGCAACCATGACCCACGCAAGGACTTCGACCTCGGCGCATGGTTCTTACCGTCAGCTGTCTTTCGGAACCACAAGTACTCATTGCAGAACAGATTGTGTGACTTCTATCAGTGTTAGACAAGCTTGGGTGCTATTTGGTTGGATCTTTGATTGAATTTTGGAAATGTACATCTTTACTACAACATAGGCCCACAAAACGCTAAGCTTTGTGCACAGGGGGCAAGCTGCCAAGAAAAGGGAGGATTGTTGCCAGCGCTTTCTGTGGACATCCAACGTTTGGCGCCGCTTTGGGGCACTTGACCAGAGAGTTCCAGAGAGTCCCTTAGCAGTTGGGATTTACTTTTTGGAGGAAGTCATACCAGCATTCGTTGAGCTTTCATACACAGCTGCACAGATTGTTTGGTACTTGTCTCATTGACTGTTATTTACCCTCTTCCCAACAGCCATGGAGGTGGACAGGAGGTTTTTTGAAGGTTGTCCACTTCCATGCCTGTTGGACAGGATAGTTATTTGACAAGGGTATGTGTGAAAATTTGGGACCCCACCAAACGGTAGGTTCCCCTCAAAAGAAGCACACCCATTGTGTTGCTTATGCTTTGATTCGCGGCTTGGCCGCTTACGCTTTGCAGGCTGCGGCGACCACAGAGCTGGGAAACTTGAAGCCTGGGGACGAGGTGGAGATCGCAGGCGGTCGGCGATTTCGCAAGACCCGGCATTCGACCACGGCAAACTGGTTGCGTTCGGAAGGGTTTGGACGCCGCAAGTTGCCAGGCTTGGTGTCCAAGCCGCAGCACAACGGTGAGCGAGGAGTTGTGGTGCAGCTGGCGAAAGACGGAGGAGCGACCGGCGCGTGTTGCTTGGCCCTTTGTGAAGCACCAGGATCGACATCCCGATGGTAATCGGAGGAACGCAGCTACAACTCACATTTTGCTTAGGCATATTTGACTAGTTTCACATAGTGGATAACCTACGTTGCCAGCCACTTACCAACTATATTGCATATCCAAGTAATGAATAATGTTCACTTCGGATTAAGAAAAGCCGCAGCATAGGAGCCCCATTCTCACTGGGGAGATTGTCCATTTTGTGGAATCCAGCTGATTAGCACGGTCCTCCGAAATATTTCAAAGTTCACATTGCCCTTCCACAAACAATCATGGATGTGCACTGGAACGCTTTCCAAGACAACAGTGGGCTTGTGCACTTTCGTGCTTGTTTGTGGGAAGGCGTTTGGTGTTGTCATGGTGGCTCAGTCTAGGGGCAATGCGTCAGTACTGTAAGTCAGGGTCGTGGCGGAAGCGTAGGTGAACGAGCGTGTGTGTAACTCAAACAAGAGTTGGATTCGGACTACTTGAAGGACAGAAGCAGCTTTGCGCGAGAAAGAGGGTGCAGGTCCAGGTGTGGAAGTCGATTCTTTGGCGGCTCGGCGTTGAGATGATGCACACCTCCAGCGGGCTCCAAGGAGATTCCGTGCGGCGCTGGCGTGTGCAGTGCGGCTCTGTGACCATGGACTTGAAGGAAGCGAACCTGAGACCACAGGACCGGGCTCGCACTGTTTGAGGTGTTTGCCTGAGGTTTGTATTGCAAGACAGGCGATGCATCACCATGCCAGTGGCTCACGAGCAAATCAGAGAGCTTGCCGTTGGGCTTTTTGTTGGCAGTTCTTAGCTGCAGCCCCTGCATTGGAGCTACCGACTCATGTTCGATGCTAATATTCTCAGCTGAGCCTGTCCATGCGAGTTTGTTTCTAAATGGCTTCAATGACCAGGGCCCAACTGGTGGTGCTATCCAACCCAAAGGGAAAAGGGAATAGCACAAAATGTAGCACTTCTGGGCCACATCCCAATCTGGGGCGTATTGCCATTGATGTGTTTGCTCTTAAGAGCCTTGCCGTAAAAGCTGTACCGCGTTTGTTTTGCTACAGCTCAGCCAGCTCTTGACCCTCATGCCGTGGATTCTAGGGAACCCCTTTTTCAGGTTGTTTTGAGGGAAATACGAGAGGAACACCGCCATTTTTTTCGGACCCCCCCACTTTGAGCACATACCAAGATTTGGGGGGTTTCCGTCCCCTTGGATAGCTTTTGTTCAGGGACGCCAGAAGGACACCAACCTGGGTTTCCAGCTTTTGACGCGTACCCTGTCGAATTACATGGCAAGCCCATTTAAACGAAGATCGTCTTCCAGGACCCCTCAGTCAGGTTCCATCGTAGATTAGCGTCATTTCGGTTTGCCCTAGGCCGAGGTGTCCTTCGAGCCGATGGGCCTGCCGGGCGACGGCAGCGACGGCCGGCTTCCACCGGTGTCCCTTGACCTGGACCAGATAGACCGGGGTCCCTTTTTAGGGGCCTGCCTTTTTGTTTGTTTTTTTGGAGGGGGGGGCGGGACCCTTTTGAATTGGTTTGAAAGGGGAACCAAACAAACATCTACCATTTTGAGGATCCCCCAATCTTGAGACGCCTCAACACATCCTTTTTAACGCCTTTGAAGTGTGTGATTCTTGGACGATTAAGGAGGATCCTGAGCTGGAACGGGGCGCTCAAATAAATGGATACTTCCTGCAAGCAGGCCGCCCGTGTATGAACCACCACTCTGAGAATTTACAGAAGAACTCATTGTACAAGAACGATCCCTTTTCAAGGAGGAATTTGCCTCGGGCTTCTCTTTGAAAAGCATCAGCTTTGACTTTGGCTTGTGTTCATTAGCGCAAACACATTGACATTGGCTTCGGCTTTCTCCGAACCAGCCGCGAGCGCTCAGGTTCCGCTCCAGCCACGAGCGCGCAGAGAAGAGCGCAGTGCCGCAGCTGGGCCCGCGTCGAGGTCTGACGGGTCCTGGCTCGAATGAGGGACGCCCAACACGTTTTCTTGTGTTTGTGATTGTGCTCTGTGTTTGTGTTTGTTTTTCAGGGTACCCTTTTCAGGTTGGTGCAAAGGGAAACCGACAGGGTCCCCTATTTTGACACATACCTAAGCTGGGTGGCTCCTTTTGCGTTTCCCTTCAAAGCAACCGAACAAAAAGGTAATAATCCTCCGAAATGACACTCCCGGAGAGTTGCTGCATGCCGAAACGACTGCTGGCTTCGAGCCTACTGGCCGATAATTTGGCTAGAATGGGCTATGGTCCACAATCTGAACGTGTCATTGTGAGTTGTGGGGCCAACCGTTGAGGTTTGCCACAGGGTGAGCAGAGCAAGAGCTGACGATCCCCTACATCGCTACATGGTGTATAGTTGTGAAGCTTAGGAGTGGCATTTTGTAGGAAGTTGAATCTTGATGGCGTGGACTTGAATCGCCCGACATTGGGATCGTGTGCTGCCAATGCTGTTGATCATGGCTAATACAGCTGTACAACGGCATTTCTCCCAGTTTGATTCGACATGTTCGTCAAGCGATCTCTCAAGGCGGCTTCCAGAGATGTTCATGCGGCTGAGTAGCAAGCCATAGAAACTTCAATGACTGCGCTGTATGAGGTGTTCTAGTATCATGCGACAGGTCTTCTGCATCACCAGCAACACAGCATCTGTCCAAGAATACTTACAGGAGTATTGTATTGTCTCAAGCACCTACTTGAAACTTGCAATCTTCAACAAGCTAAGCATACTTTGTGGACAGTCTGCGTCTTATGATATCTCCTGGGCGCAAAACGATCTCTAAGGGGTTCAGGAGTCTAGGGCATGCATTTTTCCCATCTAAAACAGAATGCCAGCTTTGGACTATAGTCCCTAGAGATGGTTTCCGTTGATTTCCCTTCCCTTCAGAAGTGTCTAATTTTTTTTTGTGCCAATTGGGCTTGAGCTGCGTTGCCCTCGCATCCGCAGCTGTGAATTTTTGCAGCCGCAGGCGCCCCGCAGAAGAGGCCGCGGGAGGCGTGTTCGGAGGCGTGGCAACAGACATGTTTACTCGGTGAGACGACTCGAATGTACTGATATCTTGGTTTGTCAATTGGGGACCACCCCATACCCCTTATTTGTGTTTCCTTGGTCCGCACGGTGCAATGCGTGCTTGGAGAGCCCGTTGTTAGGCTCACACACACACAACGTATTTGGGCGAAGAGACCTGTGGTTTTTGGCTACAAGAAGCCACGAATTGGTAGGACGCAGTTGGAGTTGGTGGGTGTCAAGTCAGCAAGTTTGAGGCAAGGTGGTTGCGCTTGCCAGGGGGCAAAGCTGGACCCCATGCAGATGCTGGAGCAGATGGCAGAGGAAGAAAAGAGGCCAAGCCAGCGCTGACGCGCAGCTGCTTGGAGCGGATTTTGCTTTGGGTGCCAGGTAGCCCGTAATATTTTTCGAATTCTTCGAAAAGGTTGCCTTCAAGAAAGTTTCGCCAATTTAGCCGTAGGCCTTCAAGAAAGTACACATCTAGCTGTAGCACTTCCCCTAGAGAAAGCCCAGAGGTGGAGATTTTGGATTTTTCCGGACCCCGAAAAACGGGGCGAGGAGCCGCAGCTGGCGGCCTGCAAAAAGGCTCCGCATCTTGTGGCCAGGCCGCAGTCGATTCCGTTTGTCCGGAAGCACACGATTTGCTCGCGTGAGGTGCAAAATGTTTGAAGCTTTTTGGGACCAGTTTAACCAAAAGGCTTGGACTGTTTCTGGCCAGACTCAGGAAACGCAGGGTGTCTATTTGGGGATTTCTTATTTGAAGGTAAACTTGCGAGAACAGTTGCCGCATGAAAGCCAGGGGGGGTTGAATTGAGGGGGGGTTCAACCAGAAACGTGTTTGATCGGACCCGACTAAGAGGTAAATAGAGTGCCAAAAAGCAGGTTGGCGGGCTTCAGCGCCCTGCGAACTGACACGGCAGCCAAGAAGGGGTCACCCAAAGGAGATTCCTTCACATCTTGTGTTTTTGGGAATCCATGTTAATCAGGAGGGTTGCCCATTTGTCAGAAATTTCAGGGCTGCCTTTTCCTGGGGCTGTGCAACTGGGCAACTGCTCAGGTGGTGTGGTGCTTTTGGGCCACTTGTAAAGATCGTCCATGAGAAAGGCCCCATGCGTGCGGGAGGGGGGGGGAACCGCCCGCACTGCCCCTTTCCGGATTGCTCTTACGGAATTTGGAATCACCCTTTAATTAGTCGGTTCTTGCATGGGGAAGCGCTGGAAGGTGCATTCCCATATTCCCCACTCAGGACGCGCAAGCTTTTTGGGGCTCTGGTGAAACAGCTCAAAGGAGAAGAACATTGGGGCAATAACATTATCCCGTTTGCAATTCTCCATATGAAGAACCGTCAAACATACTTCTGTTGAGTTCAGTATTCGGTGTTTCATAGATACTCTGAACATGCACAAAACCATAGGGGACTCTCAAAAACACGATACCCCTGGAGAAGGCTGGAAACGCTAGAAAACGATAGGGGACTCTCAAACTAAGTAGCGAAACGGCCGCAAGTAAGTAATTCTGACCTTGCCTCATATGAACTAGGTAAGCTTGCTCCTCGTTTGCATACGCATAGACGGGAAGGTGGCGCGGTGTAGGTAAGATCCTTTGCACATGAACTAGGGTCACAGCTGCATTGATGCTATGTCACACTCTATCATGAAATGGTTCCCATCAGGCCTAGCATCCTATACCGACATTGCGCCCAGGTGTTATCTGACTATGCACAATGTCAAGCAACGTCAAGCAAAGCGCCCAGTTTCCCGCTGCAGGTGATGCGTGCAGGAGCCGGGGTTGACAACCTCGCGGTGCCGGCCATGGCCTCATTTCGTCAAGTTACTCTTTGTTCGGATCACTTTCGAGACATTCTGCTTTTCCATTGCAATTGTCGGCCTCAGGCGCTGGCCGAGCGGGGAGTAGTGGTGTGCAATGCAGCGGGCGCCAACGCTGTGGCTGTGGCAGAGTTGGAGCGCTAAGAGGGAAAGCGCTGAGAGGGAACTGGCCCGTTGCAGTGATTTCCAGAAAGAATGCTGTTTCTGCTTGATGAAATTACATAGCTTGGATGGGCAACTGAGGTTGGCCTAAGGTTGTTGCTTTGAAACAAATCAACGGGAGGCAGGCTTCACTTGCTCTCAGGCTTAATCATGGAAGCACGTTCGCAAGCTTTGCCACAGTTTCCCGTTTCCCTTGCCACTTGTCGGCAGCTGTCAACTTGGGTAATGGTCTCATCCAGTCACTGGATTCCCTCGCAAGGATTGCCAAGTCATATTTGGCGAAAGTCATCCACATGACCGGAACCATTCAAACAAGGAGCCTGCCAGAGGCATGCTTCATTTTGAACCCATTTCGGCGATGGCCCGGGCGAAGTTGGCTTAGCATTTGAGGCTCACCATGGCGCATTTGCTGAACTTGGACCGCCGGCTTTCTGACCAGGCTGGGCTTGGGGGTTGTGTGTGTGTGTTTGCGCGCTATTTTCCGGCTGGTTGAAAGGGATGCCAAAAGCCAGATTTGAACATTGCAGTGCGGTTCAAGTGAGGCAGTGTGCAACTGATCCAAAGTGGCTTCTCGAAGTGATGAGATGTTTCCACGTGACTCTCTTGGCTCTTGGCCGAGTGCACCCAGCACCGTTGTCTTGGCTGCGCAACCCGGGATGACTGACAGAAAAGACTCGAGTCTGGGCCAGCCGCGCCACGCGTTTTTTGTGCCAGGTGGAGTCGCTCCGCAGAGGCCAGTGGCAGCGCCTGCACTTCGCCAAGGGACCTCGTGGCCTCTACGGCCCGGAGCTCTGAGAGCGGAAAGCCTCGTGCTCATTGCCAGAGGTCCTAAACTGACTGAAGCCGTCTTGCTGGTTGGGGGTTTACTTGACCATCTTGACCCTAGCTCTGCCAACACGTCTGGCACCGCCGCCGGTCATTTGGCACCTAGTTGTCTCCAAATCGCCAGGGTTGGGTTTTGAGTCAAAATACCTCAACTCCGGTGGCAATGATTTTATTTAGTCTAGGGAGGGCATCGATGTTCATTGCCGAATATGTTGACCGCTCCGACGAGTCCATGCTTTGCTTCAGTGTGAGTGGAAAGCGTACGCCAGAGCGCTGCCGCCCTGCTCGCTGTGTGCTACCATAGAGTAAATTGCACGGCTACGCTAACACACTGCCATGCTGGACTCTGTGAGGTGCTGGCAACAATGCTGCTACTCTGTCACGCTGCGCACTTATGCTGATTACACTTCCTTCTGAGTGCACGCTGCCTTGCGTTTTGTTTCTATTATTGTGAGATCTGAGTTGCGTTACGCCGCCCTACAGTGTAGTGGTGTAATGTGTAGCGATGTTTTGCGCTGAGAGGTGCGGCACTCATTGCGCCCGCAATTCTTTATTTGAAACACACATGAATGTTATAGTACGCACCACAAGATATTTGTTTAATATTACTTACTAAGTTTACAAGGCCTCCGATAGAAAACATGGCTTTCAGCAAAAGCAAACCGCTAACAACATGGGCATGATTCCAAAGCATACACATGGAGATGGCTTTTGGATCAGATGTGATTCATCGGGTGTTGTCCTTCATTGTTTCGGTCATGAAACATGGCTTATTGTTCCAAGCATCTCGAGAATCGCACAGTTTCTAAATGCCACTAAAGAGTTGTTAGTGTCTATCTGGGGTACCTTTGTAGCCAGTGGGCTAAAATAAACTTAGAATCATAGGATACTTTACCCTCCCGGAGCCAAGAACCCAGCAAAGTCCAAAGGGGAGGTTCGCCGCTAGGGCGCACCCTGGCAGTGCTTGGCCTTGGCTCTGTCGGCCGGGAGGTGGCTAGGCGCGCCGCGTGGTTCTCAAAGGGAAACCAAATGGAGGCGGTTTAACCGAGCAAACAAGCATGTCTAAGCAGGCGTCGTAGGCAGGGGTTGGCCCCACCCACAAAGAGGAGGGGGGTCCGTCCTTTATGTTCTTTTTTTATTATTAGTATTATTATTTATTATTATTATTATTATTATTATTATTATTCTTTTTTAATGTTTGTTTGTGCTGTGTTTTTGGATCTGAGACTCGGGCACGCGGAAATGAGCCATTTGTGTGCTCGGAGTGACATGTTTTGAGCTCTGAGCATGAGTTCACTGGCGTGCAGTGTCTTTCGCACGTGACAAACAAGCAGCCTCCATGCGGTCGTCGGGTGTGCCGTGGCCAGCACCCCCGCTGCCCAATCTGCAGGTCTCATGTGGAAAAAATAAAGCTCCGGTTTTCCGCATTGTGGATCTTGCGGCGAAAACCCCGCCGCTGCAATCAGCCACTCACCCTTCCTTTTTCCTTGTTTGTATTTTCGAATATCATTGGCTTTTGCTTGGTGAGAGCCAAACGACACTCCTTTGTGCTTTCTTGGGTTTGCATCGCAACCCCCAAATGGGCGGTTTGCTTTGGTTTTTGCCTTCAAGACCCCAAAAAGGGGCACCCAATGGCAACCCCCCACCCCGGTCAACGCCTTCAATGGGGCCCAGCGTCGGGCTTTGCGACACGCGAAGCCAGGCTTGCCAAGGCCTTCGGCATGAATGTCCGTGCCTGGAGCCGGTCGCTGACCTCTGAGGCGTGCGCATGGGTCGTCGGCTTCTCAAAATGAGCCCATTGGCTGGTGGTTCGAGGGGTTTTTTAAGAATTGGGCATACACCTGGCACCCGTTTTGATCATGCAGGATCAATTAGTATTTTTTGCCTATGTGGCAAAGTACTGAACATTGGTTGGTGCTTGACCAAGCATTGGAACGACAAAAATAGAACATCGATGAATGCCCAACAACCAGGGTGCTGTGTTAAGTCCTTTCTTGTTAGCATGTGGACCCTAAACGGGCTCTAATGAAAGCGTTCCTGCTTACACCAATGAACAGTCGTGTCTGTAGCACACTCTTTCCCATTTGGGCATGTAGGGTGACCCCCAAAATTGTGTGTTCCCTATTGCTTTTCCTTCCAAACCACCTCAAGAAGGGCTATCTTCCAAAAAAGAAGTACACACACACACCCACATCCGATTGTTCGGACACGCAGAACGGCGTCCCAGCTATTTGGGGACGCCGAAACTGGCCAAAACGCGGCAACCACGCGCACGGTGCCAGGAGGCCGAGGAGATGGGCGTGGCCTTCTGCGGCTCCATGGAGGAGGCGGCGTTTTGCGCGGACGCCGGGGCCCGAGAGGGTCCCCTCGCGGGTCCGCATGCGGGATGCGGCCCGGGTGGTGACTGGGCCGAGCTCCAGCCTCGTTTTGGCTGCCAGGATGCGGCTGATTGCTGAAGCTAATCGGTTCAGGACATGTTGAATTTGGGCGCATCCCGAAGTTGGCCGCAATGTCTGGATGGGTTGGCAAGGTCTTCAGAAGAATTTCAGCAACACGGAAAATAAATCAGCGCCGCATGCACACACGCAAAGGGGGAGGGGGTTCATTTATTGGAGTGTTTTGAAGCCAAGTTTGCTTTGTTGGGTCTCTTTCAATATGCTATGCCCCCTCGGAGAGTCTGCGGCCTCTTTAGTGGGATTGGGGGTCTGGGTTGGACTTGGACTTGCCAATGCTTAATTTAGTGTTGCCAATTCTGGTGTGGCAGAGACTTACTCTCAGTATCTCAGTGCTTGATTTTGTATTGCCAATACTTAATTCAGTATTCTTTAGACTTGGCAACCGACTTCGAGTCGATAACTATTGTCAATTTTCAGATTCCCAGTACTTAATTTAGTGTTGCCAATACTTGTTTTAGTACTGCCAAGACTTAGGCACACACTCCCAGTACTTAACTTGCTATACTTTATTTAGTATTCCCAGTACTTAATTTAGTGTTGCTATTTCCACATTTTGTATTGCCAAGGCATCCTCTCGGATTCCCAATATCTAGTATTTTCAATTTGGAATTCAGGCGTTGATCTTGGATTTTCCACCCGCCCAAAGAAGTAGTCAGATGAAACAGAATCATGGGCTCTCGTGGAGTCTCCTTTGAGCGACTGTGTGTTTGTTGTCTTTTGCAAGAGTTTCACGGCGAAACGATGGTTTGACGTGGAAAACAGAAACTTCTAGATCTCAGGCCTTGAGCTGGGAAGGGCTTAGATAGAACCGGCCCTTTAAAGTAACAGCCTGAGGCTTTGATCTTGGAATTTCACACCCCCAAGAAAGCTTGGCATTGAAGCAACCCTCGAAGCAGTCAGATTAGACCAGAATGGGGCTCTTGCGGGGTATGCCCTTTGTGTGACTGTGCGGTCTTTTATTTTAAATCAAAAAATAAGAGATGTGTTTAAGACCAGTGGATCACTTCAAAACAGGAACTCCTGCGCCCTGACCGAACCCGAGCGCGGCGAAACCCAACCCCTTGGGCAGAAGTGTTGCATGTCCGCAGGAATGTACACTGTACAGATTGGTGGGACCTATGGCCTTGAGCGGGACCTATGGCCTCAGCGAGAATACCGAATCAACACGCTGTGTGCTTTCGGCGACACATACACACCATCGCGCACACACACACACAACTGCAACATGCGCACACATGACACCCGCTTTCATCAAGGTATCAAGTTTCTCAGTGGGGTTTCGGCACAGTGAGGTCAACTCCATAGATCATGGCATTTGCTCTCTCTTAGTAGCGAAGGCCAGTGGCTGACCGATTTGGAGTTCCAGGTCATGTAGTAACCATAGTAGTATGTGGGTCTGTGCTTTGCCGACGTTGTAGTCATCCAGTAGTCACCAACTTCTTCTCATGAATGGAGTGCCAACATTACACAACACACACAGACAAAGAGTCTTTAACTCTGACCCGATTACACCAGAATAGAACTGTTCCAATGCCATGAAGCTTGGGCCACGGACTCTCAAAAGCAATGACTGCATCACACGCGGTAGTGGACAGCCTTCTCCACTGGGTTTTTGCCAAATCCGCTTCATTTGCTGGTTTGCAATGACCTCCATGGGCCACGGGAAGGCACGTTACGGTTTTCTCATGTCCACTCGACCTGACCTTTTTGGTTCAGGCCATCACCGTCCACCTGCCACTCACGGCCGCCACTCGTGGAGTGGTCGGCCTGGACGTGCTGATGCTTGCGCCAGGAGAGAATTCGCCGTGAGCTCTCCCCCAAAGGCTCTGTGCTGTACTACAATGACTTCAGGTGCCTTTTGCTGGTAGCCACTGTGACATCCTAGAAAATAGTTGCCAACCATTTGCGGACTGATTGCCCGGATGTGACAGTATCCAGTTGAATACCGGCAAGTTGCTGAGGCATGCAAGGTGATAGTCTGACTCCCCTTTTTCCTTTGACAGGCTGTTATCTTGCTTGAGAATCACAGAAAGATGGAGAGGCATTTGCACCCATCGAGCCCTGTATCAATACTGGCTTGGCCAATATCAGTTTTTCTTTGCAACTACCTCTTGGGGGTGTCTTTCAGACGGAGAAACTAGTGAACAGAGTTCAATTCTGGGAGGGGCCGGAAGTGCGGCTGGGCTTGAAAAGGTTCCGAAAGCTTTGCGCATCTCAAACGCCACCTTGCAAGTTCCACAGATACGTGTCAAGGGCCCTGCATTTGACCAAATGGGACACTCCTGATTTTCAGGGAGCTCCGTGTGCGGCCCCTGGACTCACCTGTGGATATTGCAGGGGTGTCAAGGAGCCTTTGTTTCCTTTTTTGGGCCTTGGTCCTGACAGGAGCGCTCTTCGTGAATATGCCCAGCACTCAGAGCAATGCTTGTCACAGTTTGAATTTTGATACATTCTGGATCAGAGGAAGGTCACCACTAATAAATTGCATGCTGGTACAATGCAGTTAAAAGCCAAACATGTTAATTAATCATGACAATTTTGATGAAACAGCTGGGGAGCCCCCCAGATGGTCAGTCGGATGGAGTCAATGTACATCACGGTGGCAGTACATGCTTGGTAATCATCGAGAAACGTACATAGGGGCGGCCGCCCCAAGCGGCATCGTCACGCAAGGCAAGTTCTAGTAAATGTTGTTGGAGCCTGCCTTGGTCAGAGTCGGTTGATGAGAGCACCTATGTTTTGGGCAGTGGTATGATATCTGCACTCCCTTGTATTTCGATTTTTCTGCCACTGGTACCAAGTGCCGTTGCAGTTGCAGGCTTTATTGTAAACGCTTCGCTCTGCCCGCCTCAGCCAGCATTCTTTGGGTGGGCTTTGAGGTACCGTGTTTTGGTTTGCCTTGAAGTGTTGTGTTTTTTTGAGTGAGTGAGTCGACGCCCAAATGCGTGAGCTATGTATGGCCTCAAGGGCTAGGACGAGAGCCGCAGTCTGAGGCGTAGGGGTGGAGTTGTTGCCCGGCAAGAGCTACATAGCCGAGTGCGTCCCTGATCGCTACCAACTCTTTGCGGCTGCCTTGCGGCGACGTCCCGACTACTGGGAGAGCGACTTGGCACAGCTGCGCGCAGACATGGCGCTGGAGGCAAACGGAAGCGACCAGGTCGAGACGGTCTGCAAGCTCTGCGGGCCCAGCGGTGCGACAGCAAAGACGTCCGTGATGTGGACATGGAAGGCAGTGAGGGCGACCGAGAGGCCGAGCAGGAGCCTGAGGACAGAGTGGCTTTGGCTGCCGCGCAGTGAACGCTGAAGCATTGCGTCAGTGTCAACGTCAAGCGCTTGGTGCAGCTGGAGAGCGCTGTGGACACTTGCCACGGCGCGTTCTTGTTCCACAAGGAGATTTTGCAAGCGCGACGAGGTGTCCACAAGGGCAGCGGACTAAACTTGATTTGAATGGGCTGAAGGGCTGGGCGCCTGGGCAGTGCCAGCAATTTGACAGCGGATGTGACCGGTTTCTAGGGTGGGTTAAATTTCCAGCAGAAGGTTTCTTAGAGGGGTTTGACCGACAAAGGCTGGGCATGGGTTGGGGCCGCGGAAGGATGTGACAGCCTCAGCTGCTCACTTCAAACAGAGGGGCTTAGGATCCCGGTCTGAGGGGGTCTGACCGCTTCCCGGCCCTGAAGGCCAAGGCGAATCTTTTGTCGCAACAGTGACTTGTGATAGACGGACATGAGTTGTTGCCCTGCCTACCAATCTACGCAAGCAATCTCATGGCCCCCCCCCCTCAAACAAATAGGAACAGGCACCTGGCACCCCAGTCGCGACTCGTCCGACCGGGATTGGAACACCGAGGTCCCGGGGCGGCGTAGTGGATGAGGAGGCGCTCCTCGAGGCAGTTAAGGTGGGCTTGGGAGAAGCGCCGGGGGGATGGAAGCCCTCAGGGCGAACGAAAACCAATGAGAACATATTACGACAAGGACTGGAGCCTTATATGTGAAGATGCGTACAATAAGTAGACTCCACGTATCCGACGCGAGGGATGCAGCCTCCCCGAAAATCCAGGATGATCCATCCGAGGTTCCCAGGCGTCGGGTTTGCCGGGTAGAGGATTGAGCCGTGCGTGTGATGCAGCATTCGGATTTTGCATGGTGTTTCCAGTCTCCTGAGCTGATCATACGGCATTTGTTCAAACGATCTCCAGCTCATATAGAAAGGCCTTTCCTTAATAGGGCTTTTTCCTGCTTCGCGTGGAGAAACAACTTGTTCCATAAGACCATGACACAGATGTTGTGCATTGCAACTCTCTTTGAGTTGCACATCGTGCAGTTGCTTAGAGGCTAGGGCCAGAAGGAGCACAATTTACTTGTTCGCCTAGGATTGGGGGGCCCTGACAGGTGATGCACCACGATAACTCATGACATAGACATTCTATCTGCCTTTTGAAGCGACCCCAAGAATGGCGTGCCTTTGGGTTTAGGGTAAACAAAGTGAAAAGGGTAATGTTGAGTCTGCTTTATAATAAAGTAGCCCCCGTGGAACAGTCCCAACGGTCCAGTTGAGCCTCTTTAGTGGACAGATCGGGAGGTTGGGCTCGACTTCGACTTGCCCATACTGAATTTAGTATTGCCAATTCTAAACTTAGTATTGCCAAGACTTACTCTCGGATTCCCAGTATTTAATCTAGTATTGCCAATACTTGGTTTCTCGACCTTCGAGCTAGGAACAGCTTAGGATGAACCACCCCTTAAAAGTAAAAGGCTAAGGTTTGATCTGGGCATCCCGCAAAAAGCTTGACAGTAAGGCGAACAAAGCAGAGGTTAAGCTTGATTAAACAGAATCAGGGCCGCTTGTGGGGCACCCCCCTTGCGCGATGGTTTGGCCTCCTCTTTTTTTCCCGGTTATTTACAAGTATGTATATATATATATACATAAACATCGATGATTTGGGGACTGCTTCAAAAACCGGAATTCCTATTTCTGTTGCCCGGATTTGGATTCCTTTTTTGCCCATTGTTTTTTTCCCCAGCGTTTTGTCTGGCAGACACAGTTCTATTCATTAAAGCGAACCTCGAAACAGTCACAGGATTCTGAACTAGGAATAGCATTTGCTACAAAATCGAAATTGGGATTTATAGTGCGTCCGACAGTACCGTAAAACACTCGCTCATTTGATTCTCTCAAAACGTTGCCAGAGTTTGATAATGGCTCCAGCGGCCAGGTGTATGGCATACGAGCAGGCGCGCACGATTTGGTCGTTTGATTTGCTGTATGTGTCAAATAGGTGACCCACCCAAAATGATGGATTCCAACAAAGGTACCGTCAGTCTTTTTTCCCCCCACAGACACAGAGAGACACAGATACGCAGACAGACACAGCTTTCGCAAGCGTTGGCAAGTAGTGGTTGGGTTTGCCATTCTGTTTGACCCAGAGTGTAGCAGTTTCATCCGGCTGGCCCCCAATAATTTCTAAGTAGTTGCTCTTTACTATCACACGGGTAGTGTTCAATGAGTTCTATCTTACAATTCTCAACCCCGTATTCGTCAAACAACACTCTAGAATTTGAATGTTTGTTTCGCCCGTGCCTTTCATTGAAATAATATTTCTGCCTATGTCTTGCCATCCTTTGGCTTAGTTCCTCACACGTGCTTCCTACATAACACTTTTCATAACCAACATCAACTATTTTGTAATTTTTACCGTTCTTATATCTTTCCATATCTGTTAATATCTTTAATCATCTTTTATTTAATTCATTTTATCCTATAATGTCCATAGGGAATTGAATTGAAAGCGTCAAAATAATGTCTTTTATTTTCAAAATTACTCAGAGATTGTTTGACTTGAGACATTGAATATAGTTGATGAGTGCGACTCCTGATGAAGTTGTAGGTGATTTCGTGCTTTTTTTTTTGATAAAGTGATTCCTCATAGTTTTGATATGTTAATTCCTTTTTAACCTTATGTTTAACAACACCTTTAGATTTCTTATGTTCTTCTTCTTCACCGTGGATTGTGAAAGCGTATGACTTTGGTTTGAGTGCTATAAACTTTGTAATTGTCTTTGAAGAGCATTCATCTTTGTACATTCCTAAGACCTTCTTATTTGTTTTGTCATGGCATGGATGTTCAACAGGGTAATCGCTAAAATCCATATGTTGCTTGATACCTTGAAAATCCTTGTAGACATCATCAGTGAAGGATTGAATTACATAACTGTCAGTATCGGTATATATCAATTTGATATTTTCGTTGTATTTCTTTTTCAACACACCATAGTAAAACTCATACATATGTAATTTACTTAAATCAAGAATGGTCATTCCTAAGAATATGGGTTTATCCAATTTCAGTTTCGCTTTAGTTTTCTCCACGCCTACAAGATTTTCATTAATGATAAATCGATTTTTGAATGTAGGATTATTCGCACACTTTTCATATCTAACATCATTATCTACCAATTCAAAATCCATATGTTTTCTTTTGTCTTCCATAGTTTTTCCTCATGTCATGTATGATTCTCCCAAGTCTACCTTCTTGCTTGCACGCAAAGTCCAGAAGCCAAGGCAGGGAAGTAGCATCAGTTTACGCTGCTTTGATCACATGGCGCCCGAGGCTTGGATGTGTTTGCCAACGAACCTGGCGCCAGCGACACCTCCTTTCATGATGAGGCACTGATGGGTCTACTTCTATTGTCCGCCGGCGCCCTCCACGTATATGTCTTGTATATGTCTTGGGGCGTGGTCCATGTCAGAGGGGCGGTTCTAGTGCATCGCCTTTTTGATACATGAGTTTGAAACGAACCAACCATTGCACCTGGACGGTACCTCTTTGTCAGAGGCGCGATTTCTTTGACAGTTGATGCATCCTGCTGCCCAGGGCCATGTGTGAAATCTAGGGTATTTCATGTTGGCTTCCCGTTGAACTTCATCCAATCTCCGGTGTTGAAATACATTCCTTCAGACGTTGACCTGCCCCTCCCCCTCGCCAGGCTATCATGCATCCAGGCTGGAAGCAGCCGAGCGGTTCTCATCACGCCGGCAATCACAGATGCAAGCTGTGCCAGCTTATATTTTTCAGAAGCAGTGGATATGCCGAATTCAAAGGTCATCGTGTCTGTGCAATTGACCTGAACTTCAGGCTTCAGCACTTTGTTCCATGGTCTTGCAGGGGATTTTGGGGGGATGTCGACAATTGCCGGTGGCCTTTTGGCTGATGCGTAGAGATGCGATCTCCGTGCCAGACATCTATGGCAGCCACCACACGGGTGCCCGCACCGAACAGGCAGGGTGTGCCCAGGGTTCCGGTTGGTTCCCCGCAACGCAAGATGTTCAGGGAGGCCTATCTTCATCCCAAGGGCGACAGTCGGATTCTTCAACACTGGGCCCAGGTCATTGCAACTGGCGCCCTTTTCATGTCTAGTTGGCGCCCAGAACATCTCTGCTACATGTGTTTGGTGTCACTTCGGGTGGCTCACAGATGGCCCCAGATCAAACACGAAGCCTGCTTGGCTCCTCGGCAGGCTGCCGAGGCAGTGGAGCAGGCGGTGCTGGAGGTGGTGTCCGCATACTTGGAGGGGAGGCTTGCCGCAAGCGATGATCATCATGTGCCATCAGTGTCTCATCCAAATTGTTCGCATCTCTGATCAGATGGCGCTTTGGTTTTGGAACCTTTGCCTTGACCTCCAGGGTGCGCATCAAGAGAGCTGATTTGCGCGCCTGATGTGGCTGGGTTGCCGTGCTGACATTTAGTCTAGCTCCTCCCTCCACAGTTTCCCTTGCGAGGCCTATTCCAGGACGCCTTGCCTGAGAGCCTCCCACATGACAGAAACCTCGACAGAAAAGAAGGCGCTGCTGCAGAGTAGCAGAGCGTGCCGTTGCTCCATGAGCTTTGCGTTACACAGAGCCAGCCAAATGTTTCCACTGGACACCTCCAGGTTGTATACGGCACTCGAACACCGTGCAGCTTTTTGCTCAAAGATACCAGCCCGAAGGCGTCGTGCCTCTGGAAAACTAGAAATATCAGGTTTCGGAGGACAGCCGAGCGGAGCCCTGCCGCGATGTCGTCATCTGGCAAACCCACCAGCACAGCCATACTAGACTCCCAGTCGTGGCCTGGGCATTAGTAGGCTTGGCCAATCCTGCCAAATGTGGGAGCGTTGAGCATGAATCTCGATTCCCCCTCCGACTGTTTCCTGGTTCCTTAAGACACACACACACACCAACACCAACACCAACACCAAACGAATCTCAGGAGTTCTAGTGGCAGAGTATTATGTATAGATTGGATGTAGCACACTATGTACCTTCTAAAACAAAAGCAACTCATGCGGATCCTTCTGTTGTGTTCCCGGTTCATACGCCATGTCGCTCTTCCTGGGCCTGGACAGTTCCACCCAGGGCTTGAAGGCCACAGCAGTCCGGAGAGAGGACTTGCAGGCAGGTTGCGGCCAAGGAAAACCGGGCGCCTGGCTGGGGATCTGGACGAGTTTTTGGGTTGGGAACTGCCATGAAACGCCTGCCAGCCCCGCGAAAAGCAGAGTTTGAATGGAGGCGTGCGGTGGCAACTTTTATGCTTCCACAATAGCCACAATGGGCTCAAGGCTTTTTTGTCTCCTGGCATCAGGCCTCAACATGATTGATCAATTGGCCGAATGAAGCCAAGGCCAGAGCCCAAGCCTCCGTTGCAGCGTGCCACGTTGCCCTGGAGAGGCTTGAAGCAAAACTTACGCATGCCAACGGGAGCAAATTGATCTTCCAGGTACCCTCCAGCAGGTGCTATGTTAGTGGGAGAGAGGGTAACTAGCTGTTGTCCAGCAGCTGGCATCTACTGTCAGGATTCCACCACGCCACCCGCTTCTCCTCGCAACCGGCTCATTCGGCACCCCAACATGTTTGAAAATGCACAAGGGTTCAGCTCCATGTTCACTCGAAGCCAAGCAAGAGAAACAAGACAAGCGCATCTCTCTTATCGGCACTTTCATTCAATCGAGCCAAATATGATTTCCAAGTCCCAAGAGCTGTGTTTGCTTGTGAGACTAACGGCAGTTGGTCCTTGCAGCCAGCGGTGGTCCAGAAAGCCGAAGCGAAAGAGCCAGGAAAAACCAACATCCATCCAACTGGGCGGTGTCTGGCGGATTTGTCGCAGGTCTTCAAGCGTTACGCGGTGAACTTTGACAAGGATCTCCCGCCACTCGGATCGCCACGAAGTGAGAGGGATGCGACGTTAGAGGATGGTCTCAACCACAGGTGCGGATATTATCCGCCCTCTTGAATCTTTACATGCAGCTAGACTACTTGAATACCAGGTTTGATTCTGACTGTGGTTTGACGGATGACACTCAATTGCCCGCAAAAAGCAAGGGGGGCTTGCCAACTTGTCACCTTGTCGAGAGGAACGAGCTGTTCCAGGCTGTGCACCGGCTTGGACACTTGGGAAGGGCCGCCATAGCCACAGGTACAACACCCTTATCAGACTGCACGAGAAGCGTTTTCCTTTATTTATCCTTCTTTGAATTGGTGAGCCAAAAAGCCCCGAAGTAAGGGTAGCTTTTACCGTATTGCGTTCAAGGTGTTGTCAAGGCTTGGCAAACACCATCAGGTGCCAAACCTATTTTCAGTTCTGCTTTTGAATCCCCAGGCCAAATGACAGAGCCTTTTCGCTGACATATTTCTGGGCCTGCGGCCTCTAGCCGGCTACGCCTCTTTGAAGTTATACCATGTCATGTCATGTTTTTTTTCTATTATGAGAAACATATTCTGTGCTATGATATGGTTGGTTAGGTTATGCATGTTGCCCACCCCAACCCCAGATGATGCAGGGGATGCCAGCTTTCTGGGCCCCAGCTGGGCCCCAACCCGGAAGGCTGACATGGGGTCGCGCGCGCGCGCGCCAGAGGCTCCAGAAAAAGCAGCACAAAAAGAGCAGCCCGCAAGCCAGCCCGGAAACGCAAATGAACAAAACGCCGTAAATAGCAGCGTTTTGTGGCTGGGGTCGCGCGCGCGGAAAACCAACGGGAAAAAAGCAAGGACCGCGCAGCACGCGAGCCAGCCACAGCAACAGCAAAACGGACAGAACAACAACAAACCGCTCAGCGCAGCAGTTTTTTACGGTATTTACAGCGTTTTGTAGCGCGAGGGCCCAGCATCGCCGGCATGCCCGGCAGCGCTTGGCGCCAAAATGCGAGAAAATGAGCCTCGCTTATATCCATGGGTTGAGCTGCTTTTTGGAAGGAAGTCTTGATGATGCAGACCAAGCCCCGCTGAAGCATCACCCAGGCCCAACCCCAGACCCTGATGTCAGCCACATTGCCTAAACCCTTCATATACGCGATGTTTTGCGAGGGTTTCCCACAGGTGGGCAAAACCGCAAGCCCGAGCTGGTAATGCAGAGGTGCCGGATTTAGGCAGCGCATCACAACCAAGCGGCGAGGGTCGGCGGCGCCAGGGTGCAGCCCCTATAGCTAAAGCTAGCAGGCTAAATGCCTAGCGGCGACATGCTACCCCAGGAGGCGTAGCCGGATGTAAGGGCTGCCGCCCTGCGCCGCCGACCCCTTCGTGGGTAGCTGTCGGCGCACGAATCGGCTGGCTTGTTGGGCCTAGGAACGGGAAGTTCGGGAAACAGCCCCAATCAATGGGTGCAGCTGCCCTTTTGATTTTCACTTGCATGTTTTGACCTGGTCTTGATTGTGACTCAGCCGGCCGTATGATGATGAGAAGGATGATGACGATGATGACGATGATGCAGCCCAAAACAAAGTCTCCCACACCTCAAAATAAAAACTATTAATTTGAGGTGCTCTCCCTGACAAAAAGCTCGCCAGGAAAAAGAGACAAGGATGCCACTCCCACACCTCAAATTAAAAAAATATTAATTTGAGGTGCTTGCCCTGACAAAAAGCTCGCTAGAAAAGAGACACAAGGATGCCACTGAACAATTGGGCAATGGATGACTGTCATGAGAACGATCATCGTAGCATCCTCTGCATCACCAATGCTGCCTGATAAGAGATGACGACGACCATGATGATAATGGCACGGGCGTGATGATCGTTATCATCCGTGTCATGACAACTATGATCACAACATCCTCTGCATCTCTACTGGTGCCTGGATAACTATCATCATCGCATCCTTTGCGTTGCCAAGGATGTCTAACGTCCCTCTTGATTTCTACATATAAGAAGATATTAGATGATGCTAGGTGATGATCAGATGATGATATAGATGATGACAAGGATGATAGCTATCATCGTAGGATCCGCAGCATCACTATCGGCTGTGATCGCAACTATCATCGCAGCATCCTCTGCATCACCAATGCGTGATAAGAGATGACGACGACCATGATGATAATGGCACGAGCGTGATGATCGTTATCACCCTCGTCATGACAACTATCATCGCAACATCCTCTGCATCTCTACTGTTCCTGGATAGCTATCATCATTGCATCCTTTGCATTGAAACGTCCCTTTTGATTTCTACATATAAGAAGATATTAGATGATGCTAGGTGATGATCAGATGATGATAAAGATGATGACAAGGATGACAACTATCGTCGTAGCATCCTTAGCATCACTAACGGCTGTGGTGATAAGGATCATCGCAGCATCCTCTGCATCACCAATGCTGCGTGATAAGAGACGACGACGACCATGATGATATTGGCACGGGCGTGATGATCGTTATCATCCGCGTCATGACAACTATCACCGCAACATCCCCTGCATCACTACTTGTTCCTTGATAACTATCATCATCGCATCCTTTGCGTTGCCAAGGATGTCTATCGTCCCTTTTGGTTTCTATATAAAATAAGATATTAGATGATGCTAGGTGATGATCAGATGATGATAAAGATGATGACAAGGATGATAACTAGCATCGTAGCACCCTTAGCATCACTAACGGCTGTGATGAGAACTATCATCGCAGCATCCTCTGCGTCACCAATGCTGCGTGATAAGAGATGACGACGAGCATGATGATAATGGCATTGGCATCACTAACGGCTGTGATGACAACTATCATCGCAGCATCCTCTGAGTCACCAATGCTGCGTGATAAGAGATGACGACGACCATGATGATAATGGCACGGGCGTGATGATCGTTATCACCCGCGGATACTTATCATCGTAGCATCCTTGGCATCACTAACGGCTGTGATGATAACTGTCATCGTAGCATCCTCTGCATCACCAATGCTGCCTGATAAGAGATGACGACCATGATGATGATGATGATATAAGGATCAGTTAATAAGAAAGAGATGATGATAAGGGTGATGATGATGACGATGACTGTGATGATAGCAATCATCGTAGCTGCTGATGCTGATGAGGATGAAACTTTAGTTATTTATGCGCCAACCACCCTTCCCGTGCGCCTCCCCTTTTTAGAGAAAGGGTCGGCGGATTCCCTAGTAGTTACATGACTTAGGATGGGACGTAATGCCTAAAGAAACGATATAATGGGGTGCTAGCCGAGGGTGCTTATGTAAATAATGTATATACATATATGTAATACATCATATACTTGCCCAAAGCCGATCTTTTCATCTTTTGGTTTCCCACGTTGGTCCAGTTTTAGTACGCGGTCCAAAAGGTTAATCTTTTCATTTCTGGGCCCTTTGAGCGACTGAGATAACCATTCCCATGCCTGGAGCTTGATGGGATGGACCTCTGAGCCAAGCAGCCGAGGCATTACAAGACCTCCGGTGGCATGTCTGCTTCTAGCAATTCGGCGAGAGTGACCTCTCCTACGCTGATGTGGATTGAGGTGGGCTCCCAGCCAGTGTGGTTGATTGTTTTTGCTCACAGCGCTATTCGCGGCCATGAGCTCCCAAGCCACGAGTTTGGGGTTGGGGTGGGGGGGTGGGGGATGTTCTCGAGCATGCTGACTTTGAGGCAGCTAGCGCAGAGACACACACACAGAGACAGACACACAGCATCCACGCGCCGGCAGTGCACTCGCCGTCCGTGCCCGGAACTTCTGCGCACACGGCCAGTGCACGCTTCACACACAGCACATGCTGTGCGCGCACACTCCGCTTCCAGTGCGCGGTTACACAGACGCGCGCGCAGACACACACACACACACGTAGATACACACACTCACACAGACACCCGAAACTCACTGGCACTCGGGCATCGTGAGCAAAGGTCTGCGGAGTGTTCCGGCTGCCTGTGGGACCAAGCCACGTGCCGCAGACCAGAACCAACAGTTTGATGTCAGCTTGCATTGGCTTGAGTCGATAAGCATGGTCAAGCTAGCAGAACCCAACTCATTCAATGAGGGACATGTGTATCGAAACGCGAATATGGCCAGCATCCAGAACCAACCGAAGACTAGAAGTACCTTGCCAGCAAGCATTTGACCCGCTGAACATTTGCGGCACGTCTTACACCACCCGTCAACGAAAAGGACTGCAGACAGGCTAAGCGAAGGCAACGTGAAAACTTCTCAAGACCACGGCAAGACTACGGCTTCGCTGGAGGCCCTGGATCTCATTCTCAAGAAGATGCAGGATGATGCCTTCCCATTCAGCGAGGTGCGACAGACGTGGGCAGTTGTTCCCACCCTCTGGGTGCAGCGATGAAAGCAGCTGCATGTGGCAGCTGGATGTGTTTGATGGTGTTTGTCTTTATTTCGCGCCAAGAGCACAAAAGTCGACACACGGATCATGTTTCATCCCACACGTGTCAATAGCGGAAGCTTTTCCGGAGGTCCTGGCAGTTTCGGGGAGCGGCCAACAACACGGGTGCGGCGCCCAGTACCAGGATGTTAGAGTTGTGGATGGGCCAGCTCTACGTTTGGCCCATGCCATTCGGTAGCAAGCCGTTTCCGGTTTGTTGAGGCTCGCCCTTAGGAGAGCCTGGGAGCACATAGGCGTTGCAAGTTCGCTACCTGCAACACTCCACTGTTGTCTGGCAGTGAGACTCATTGAGGTTTAGAAGAGCACCGCCTTTCGTCCAGTAGTATGTGGGAGTTTTCTAATTTGTGCGACCCGTAAATTACCCACCAACCATGATCATGCCCGCAGGAACCGCTGTTTTTCTTGGGGTATGCTGAAATAGGATCGTTCGTGAGTCGTGAGTTACTATTGTCCGAATCAGATGTATACATACATATTAGTTGTGAATTGGAACAAGCAATCAACTCTCCGCATATCTGCGTGTTAAAGTCACAGCACACGGCTGCTTGCACCTTTTCAGGAACTTTGCCAACAACGCAATTCCAGGCCTCACAACAGCACTACTGGGAACTTAGTCCCTTGGATCTATTCAAGGAATGAGAGCTAACAGAGGATATTTACGATTTCCGAGCAGCGCTTGGTGAATCTCAACGAAAGCGTTGTGCCTGCGCGTTTCTGCCGGGGGAGGTTTCAGGGGAGGCCTAGTCAGGTTTCATGAGGGCAGAAACTGGTTCTTACATCTCTCTCTCTCTATATATATATATATAACATGCATATACGTATATTTGTATCTTGAGAGATGTATATGGTGCAGCGTTCGTAACCCTCCCCATCCGTAGTCGTAGGTCATAGAGGTGCAACGCCCCCTGTGGTCCTGTGGTTGGGTTGTGGTGCAGGGTTGGTTTAGGACGGTTTTAGGGTTGGTTTGGGAAGTGGTTTAGGGATGACCGGGATGACCATACAATGGAAGAGGGGGTGAGAACAGGAGACACGGCACTTGCCATATATATGATGTGCGTCTGGGTTCTGAGTCCCAGGTTCGCTATAGCCCCCCCCGGAAGGGTGGTCCAGGATCCGCAGCATAGTTGGAAAAGGCAAGGCCGAACCTCATCAATAAATGCGTTTATGCACGCGTATGCTGTATATACTTGCATCATATATATATATATATATATATATGGTCCATCTTCTAGGTCCGCTCATGGTTGGAGCCCAGGTCGGTATACTGGGCCAAAGGCTCTGGGGAGCTTTTGGGCTCGCTGGACGGCGCCGGGGTCCCCCGGTTCGGCCTGTGGGGCTAGCGGACAGTCCCAGCCTCAAAACATGTTCAGCCACCGCTTTCCTTCCTTGATCCTTTGGTAGACCTTTGTAGTACCAAATGATGAGTATGACTTGTCTTCATTTTAGGCCAAGAAACAGTGCACTCTTGTTGGATGTGCAGGTTGTTTTCAGTTTCCCTCTGAGCTGCACTCTTCGAGCGACTGAAGGGAAAGGTTGTTTTCAGTTTCCCTGAGCTGCACTAAGGGAAAGGTTGTTTTCAGTTTGCCTCTGAGCTGCACTCTTCGGGCGACTGATGGGAAAGCAAGTTGGCCGTTTGGAGGTCTGCAATGCCTGCCGCTCCATGTTGGCTTTTCGGCTTTTTCCGGGGGGGGGGGGGTAGAATACGACAACCACGTCCCCTGGCTTGTTGGGAGCCTTCCTATTGACATGTTGCATCCGCGAAAGAATGACGGACGCAACGGTTCCAGGCCATTGAAGCATATTTGACGAGGATTCCCAGACGATTCTTGGCACTTGCCAGTTGCTAAACTCCCAACGAGCCAGACATCCAGGGTCCCTTTTGCAGTGCAAGGAAGGCACCCTGCTTTTTTCCCACGGACAGTGTCGATGTGTGTGTGTGTGCGCGTGTGTTTGCTCTCCACAGTATTGTGCGGATGTTCCATTGTCGTTTTGGCTTTGGGTTGTCTGGAAGGATCTTTCCCTGCATGATAGCTTAAGGCTGTCGGTAAGTATACACTTTTGAATATGTCCGCCAGTTGTACAGTGCCCGTTGTTGTTTGCCCTGTAGCAGACTGACTACGACGACTGTACGAAACCTTGCAACACCAAGACCGCAGCAATATACGGGACATCTTTTGCCATACCTTCCGGATCCTGGTCTCAACACGAGCCCGAAGGAGCACAGCATCACCACGGTTGCTCTTGTTGACACTTGGTCTTTGTGCAACTCGCTTTGTGTTAGCTTCAGATCCCAGCTCATACTTGATCTGTGTCCTCTCTGTGGAATCAACGCATTTCAACAGAACGGGTGCAAGAGAACGAGCTCAGCTCTGAGCCCACGATCAGCTCTAGGCCCAGCCGTTGACAAAGCAGCTGGCCAGCGCTTTCGCGCGCTCTGAGTCGCCGATATGGGCGGACTCCTCAACAGGCATATGGCCTTGGGCGTCCGCGGATAGATAGAAGAGCAGACAGGTCCAGGGCCTTCAGGTGTTGTCCCTAGCCACATCAATGTACTAGGAAGACAATAAATCTGTGAATGGACTTGAATGGATTAGCATGGAGTTGACTTGATTATAAATTGTGTGTGTGTGTGACATAATTTTCTACGGCCTGGTTTCCCAGGGTTCCGTCCTGGGCAATGTCGCTTATCTGAAACTTTCCTTTCCAGGAGGGCGCAGCGCTGAATTTGCCGCAACCCGGCAGGCGCCCAGTGCGCCCGCGTGGAGAAGGCCTTGGGCCGCTCGCGTTTGGCGCAGGCGGGAAAGACTGATGTGTGTCGTTTGGGTTGGAACCCCTTTTGTTGGGTTTGAAAGGGCAACCACAGAAAAACAATCGTATTTTTTGTGGGGGGTTGTTTTCACACATACCCACGTGAGTGCGTCAAAAGCAACGGGGGCCAAAAACTGTCTGATGTCACTTTCAGGCTCCACGTGCTGAGCACCATCCACATCAAGGTGCTTTTTGTAGACAGCCCCCCCACTCACAGGGTCCTGCACCACAGCCGATCGGGACCACACAAAACAGATGAAGTTGAACAGTGTGTGGCTTTGCAGCATTGGCTAGGTGTTGCGGCGAAGTTAGTTTGGGCCACACGAGGCTGTTGGCCGACGCAGTCATGGAAGATGGTGGTGGCAGCATCAACATCAGAGTGATCCCTCAGGTTTCAACATGATACTAATCATTTGGGGAGGGCCCCTAGTGACGTGCTTTGACATGCGCCCATGTGTGTGTAGAGGCCTGCGAACCCACCAGTTGGGGAGGGCCCCGGGTCTCCAGTTCCGGGCCGCTCTGGAGACGGACGCCGTCGCATCGCAGGCCACAGGCTCCCGCGCCTATGAGCGCTTCACTGGCATGCAGATCGCGAAGATCCTCGAGGAAGAGAGACTTGGCGCAGAAAAATCCAATGCCAACGAGCTGGGTGAGCCAAGCTTCTCAGGTTGCGCCAAGTTTCTCAGGTGAGCCCTTGCCCCAAACTGCGCATTTGGACGAGGTCTTGGTTGAAGCGGACGTGCGAATCGCCGTGCTTGAAGCCATGAATGTGCTGACATGCACATGCATTTGAAGAGATTCATGACAAACTTGCACACGCAACAGTATTGTGTTGGTTTCTTGTTTGAGATCCTACTTAGGTTCTCCAAACTGTCTCATCCAAGAAATGAGGAGTAGACTTGGCAACTCAGTCCCTAGATCAATAGAGCTCACATGAACACACAGACACACATACACAAACACGCAGCGTTGCCATGCCGATTCACCAACATGGCACATGAAGCCGCTCTCAGCTTGCAGCAATGCTCATGTGACGGCCTATGCGCTTACATGCAAATGTTCTGACTTGCTTCCAGCGCGTGTGGAATTGCCTGCGTGGACAACACTCGCAATGTTGCCACATCCAAGTCGGAGCTTTCCATGTGGGGATGTGACGTGTCAAAATGAGGGGGGGGGGGGTTAAAAAGCAACGCCACACACACATGTGGGCCTGGCATCCAATTCCTCAGGCCGTCAGTCTACGCTGGCTGTGAGCGCATCTCCCTGGCTGCCCGGCAAACCTCATGTTTCGTTGTTTTGAACTATCAGTGTCCTGCATTTGCCTCTCTAGGTACGCACTGTTGTGTCCGAGTTCAATTTTTACCACTTTGGTATTTAGTGCGATTTCCTGCCCCGGCTGGGAGTTTGGGGCAGTCAAACTGGAATGCCACAACACGCGAACGTGCTACTTCAATGCTAAGAGCGAATCCTACAAAGATTTGCTCTGTGGGATGGGCTTGTGCCATCTCGCCTCATTCCAAGCCCACCCGCACAAGCCAGGTTTACTGGCCCGTACACATTCAAGACTCCGTGATCCATACCCATGCTCCTGCAGTTTAGTGCCACTGCAGTACTCAGCATCGGGTGGCGTATTCACTTTGCGAGCACACTTTGAACCATGACAAACAATAAGGGACTCTCACACAGCAAGAGCATGTATAGCTTTGAGTTTGCGGGTGTGCGGCCTTCAGCACCTGCTGCTAACTCTGACAACAAATGCCACTACTTGACGACGACGACGTCGACGACTAATGCTAAGCATGGACAAAACCACCGGCCAACGCTACCTCACCTTTGCCCATCCTGTCATTTCCATTGTCACCTGTCACGTCTGGCGGAACTTTTTCAGATTTGCCAGGCAAAACCAATCCGCTTGTCAACGAATTGCAATCTCTGACGCTCAACAATCTAATAGATTATGAGATAGGCTGGTGAACATGTGCACTGGCTACTTCCAATTCAGGTTCTTGCGTTTGTAGGAGGTGCAGATCATGGGCTTACAAATTGCGCCCCACGCATGCATGTGGAGCACTGCGGATCGATGCGTGTTAGGCATTGGAGCCACACGCATATCAATGTTCCTTTGGCGCCTTCTGGTTTAGGTCTATTCTTGTGCCTGGAAGAAACCTCTGCAGCGTCCAAAGCATAGCGACAAAGGAGCCAAGCACACAGGCCTTTTTTTTTTTAAAGGCGCGTAGACGGGAAACCCGCTCTAACTTTGGTCCAAGGACTTGAGTCAGTGATGGCCCACGACTCCCTCTGGAAACGAGTGAGGCTCGAAACCCGGCTGGTTGCGATGCGAAACTTGGGTCGAGGTTTCATCCGCCATGTGCTCTGTCCTCTTGGGCGCCTATGCGCCTCTGGACACCTCGGATGGCTCTGGCACAAACCTGAACCAGCTGCAGGAGATGTCTCGCGGCTAGTTTTCCATCAGGGCTCCCTAGAGCTTTTTCCCGTTTGGGTCGAAAAATACAACCGCGCCTCTTCGTTATACTATTATACGGCCGGTCACTAGGACATGTTTTGCAGGCCTAGAACAGAACGATGCCCGCAATCCATGAGACACATCTCGCCCAACTTGTTGTCGCTTAAGATTGCGGCTTGGACGAAGCGACCACCGTGGTTTGGTTGGCCACCCAAGCAAAGATCGAGTTCTTGAACCTTGTTGTTCTTTTTTGTTTTCTTCTTGTGGGGGAGGGGGGGAGATTCGATATGCAGTGTTAGTCAGCCAAACAAGAGGCAGAGTGATGGTTAAAACAGGGCGCGAGGCACCATAGCACGTGGCAACATATTTCATCATGTGTTTCCATATCCTTCCGCTGGTGTGAGAGCCGCACCTCCGGATGTGAAAGCTTGCCTGGTATTGCTTGTGATTTGCAAGCCTGTTGTGAAGCATAACTCCAGTTACTGCCAAATTGAGAGGCCAAGAATGAACCCGATCCAGACCAGGTGATCACGTTTCACCTGGTGCAACTTTAAACATTAGCCATCCTGGGACTCTGGGGATTAAAGCGGGACAATAGCCATGGCAGAAGTCTCACTTGGGGCGTTGGTAGAACGTCACGTGTTCAACCCTATGTCTCATTCTAGATTCATAATCTGCAGCAACAGTAAGAGCTCGTATGAGTCGGGTGTGAGTTCAACCTTGTGCAGTGTTCTCTGCAAGAACAGAGCAGGCAGGCTTGAGGCAGTCAGGCCTTTCCTCCTGGCTGTTTCTCCCATTGACGGATTGTTGGTTTGTTGCGATTTGGGTGTGGCTCAAAGTTAAACAGGAGGGGTTACGCAGGTTTTGGTCCATTTTTCCACTTCCATTTGTTGCTTTTGTTGGTTCTGCTTTCCAGCAACTTACAACGTTTCTCCGCGGATCCTGATGAGGAGCTGGGCGGCCGTGGCTGGTTCGTGCCTGCGCTGGAAGCGGTGGCCGGCGACGCGGCAGGCGCTCCTCGCTGCAGTCCGGCGGTCAGGTATTAGTCACCGGAGACGCTCACCAAAATTGTCTTGAACTCACCATGTTGAACGTGGCTCAACTATAAAGATACTATCTGAATGAGGAGCTGCGGAATTCCGTTTTTCTTCTTTAAATGTGCGCCTTGTTTCAGATTGCAGTTTGTTTCCGGCATGACAAGGCAAAAGACTTGTTGGAGCAGTTTTCAAGATCCGCTCCATCCGTGGGTTCAACAGGCAAGTTGCAAATGATTGCGGGTTTTCAAGATACCAGCGACACCCAAACTAAGGGTTCAAGCAAGCGAGCAAAGGCACAGAAGGCCTGGACTCCCACATCATGGAAGGTCGGGAACGGGCTTGCAACCATGGGGTTTAGATTGGTGGTTCTCAAAATTGGGGTCTCCAAAAGTGATTGGTTTCCATTTGGTTTCCAACGGGGTCCACCATTTTGAGAAACCCCAGATTGTTGTTGCTGGTGCTCCTGAGGCAGCCCTGACCTTTGTATGGGAGTTCTTCCAACACAGAAAGGAACCCTTTGCGGGAAAGCGGCCGCACCATGTGCAGTCATTTGCATGCAGGAGGAAACTAGCTCTGGAATCATGCCATTAGCCACCTGCTGCTTCCACCAGGAATGACATAGAGGCATCGCGTTTTGTGTCTTGCTCTTTTACAGGAACACGCACCCAACCAACCAAACGAACCTGGACGATGTATGGGTACCCGGTGTACATAGTTGTGTGTCAAGATAGGGATTTGGACCACACGAATGGTTGCCCTTTTGGTTTCCCTTCAACAAAGCAGCAGAAAGGGACCTCAAAAGGACACACGCCCATTGGAACAGACAAAGATCGAAGCGTTCAAGACAGTCTTCCCAATATTCGGAACACAAGAACAGTGCCAACTCAAAAGCATTGGGTTTCTTGTTTTCCCAGCAAAATTCAGGGGGTCACTATTTTGACGGTTTCTGTTCTCAAAAGTCAGTAAATGGAATCGGTTGTTTCCCTTGGTGACTTTGATCAGGGTAAAATAATGAGGCCAGCGCCAACTCAACGCACAAGGACCCAGCCCAAGGCCCCAGGCCATAAGTCCTTCAGCTCAGGGCTCCGGCGGCGCCTCGGCCCGGGCCTGTGCTCTGGCCACGAAGGTTTGGGCTGCGCTGCTTGGG